CTGCCACCCGGCGGTGCGGGAGCGGCTCCTCTGCCCGGCCCCCGGGTGCCCCGGGCCGGGACCCTCCGCAGCCCCTTCCGCGGGAGCCGGCGCGGTGCGGCCGCGGGTGCTCAGGCGGGGGGTGGGAGGGGGAAGCTCTGCTCTCCGCCTGCAAGGGGGTACCGGACTCCCGGGGCGGGGGTTGCCGAGAAAGCTGTGCAAGAAATTGCATGGCAATCACTGTCCTGTCGAACCCTTGGCCATATACGGGAGCAGTTACCAGACACTCCATATATCATTTCTGATCCACTGCCACCTTTTGATGTTGTGTTTCACATAAATTTTAGAGGAGCATGAATTAAGCTCCAGCATGTCCTAGCAAGGCTAGGACTTGTTTTCTTTCACAGGCTGGGCCTTCTCTTGATTGACACTAAAATGGATTTGCAGCCCAGCCTACCTCCAGGTCTGTGGATGTAGGGGCTGTAAGGATGTGCTGCTGAGCAAAGCGCTCCTTAACTGCTTCTAAATAGCAATGGAATATAACTGGGGCTTTCGTCCCACTTTTGTTGGATGCTTCTTCTGTGGCCTTGGCCAGATCATTGAAAAGCTTTTGTTCTTTTTTCCCATTTGTTCCTTTCTGCATTTGTTAGAAAGGATCTTACTTTTTACCCCCTTGCAGACAAGGGAGAAGGGGAGGTGGTACTGGAAACATAAATGTTTATGCAGCACTTTGAAGACTATTGTTGCTAGGTAAATGAACTACATTGGCACTGAAATGATACAAATGGCAGAGGTAGGTCATGAATCTCGTACTCTCTGCCTGTGCTTTTTTGTCTCTGCTGCATAGGCTGGGAGACCGTGCAGCCTTGTTTAGCTCTCTTAAATAACTTGAGAAATTCAGCTTTTTCTTACTGACTTTTGGGTGACTTGTTTACACTTAGCCTTTGTCATTAGGAAATATAATGGACTTTATTCAGAGCAGCTGATTTTTTTTTTTGGTCACTCCTACTTCTTTAGGCCTCCAGGAGCAATTTCTCTTTGTGCCTGTGCAATTTTAGAAAATTAATTAGTAATTAGTTCATGATTAGCTTGTTTTCATCCCTATTGCTTCGCACCCCCTCACCCAAACCCAGGGTAAAAGATATTATTCAGATTGGATGACGAAGTCCTTAAAAGTCAGAGAAGAATGGTGCCTGTGCAACCTTAATTACCCTTCTTATGCATATATATCATGGTACAGTTTTTAATGATATACTCACATGCTATTTTTTCCACCAGATTCACCCTACATGCATAACAAGATGGATGGTACTCCCTTGGCGAGCACTATTTGATGTTTTATTTTCATTCTGTTCTCATAAAACAGAACCTTGACAGAGTCCTCTGTGCCCTTGAAAGCACGGGTACAATAAAGATTTTCTTGCAGGAATGTTTGCCAGAATATTTTCCTAACATGGGTAAAAAAAATCTTTTGTCTAGCCTTACTCTTCACAGCAGGTTAAGTATAGATTAGAAGATGTTAGCATAGCTTGTGTTTCAGTAAGCAACGAAACCCTGCACATTTTAATGTGAAATTTAGAGAGAGAAGACTACAAACATATGCATGTGTGATTTTGTAATTTTTGTGATGTTTTGCCTTTTTTTTGTAACTTCCTGAATTTTTCTGCAGAACGCTAGAAATACACCAAGCAGATGAAAAGATTAGCTGTGTACTGAAAGCATAGGGAGAAAGAAAGAGCACTGATACATATGCGTAACTGTGTCTTATATCTGAAGCATGGTCACCATTTTGTTCTTGAATTATATTTTTCTTATCCTTTTGTTTTCCTGTGTAACATTCATGTTATAAAGCAGTAACGTGCTGTTGTGTTTCTATTAGCATTTCTCCGCTTCCAAAATCATGCCTTTTTGCTGGGCACAGCCTATCTAAA